AAAATGACCACTGAATGTAAATACCAAGGTATATAAACAGAGAGCACAATGCTACAAGCTGGACCCTTTTCATTTAGCGTCCGTCTGTGAACTAGGCTAACTATGATATCTGAAGTTAGAAAAGATATCTAACATTAAGCTATTAGCTTTAGCATTAGCTCATCTGTTGATTTGCCCCACAATGGCTAAAAGACTTCCTTCCACTATTCAATAGTTGACTCCCGACTCCCAGCTACGGTAACAGCTACACTCTTAAAAAGATCTTACATTTATTAGAACTTCAATAAACTTATTAGAACATTTTGGATGTACATTTTTAATAGAACTCTTAAGATATTTACTCTATTAGACTTTCAGTCTAGATTTTAATTTTATTAGAATTTCATTCTGGATATTCATTTCATGCCCTGCGATGGACTGGCGACCTGTCCAGGGTGTATCCTGCCTTCCGCCCAATGACAGCTGGGATAGGCTCCAGCACCCCACCGCGACCCAGAAGGATAAGCGGTTTAGATGATGGATGTATGTATGTATGTATGTATGTATTCATTTCATTATAAATTTATTCTGATATTAATTGTACAGCTTTCTCTATTTTTTGAACTTTTGTAGGACAGTTAACAGGCCATATGAACGTTTGTAATGAAGTGGTTCAGGTTTAAAGGACCCATATCTGATTTTTCTCGTGTTTTATTTTTGTCTCCTAAACTCCACTTACAATGTCTGTCAGTTTTATATATGAAAACAGTCCTAATTCATCTTTACATGACCATTTTACATCCTCTCTTTATCCCTTAGGATTAAACAGGCTGTTCTTCAGGGTTCTTTAATAAAGAAAATGGTTCAATAAAGAATCATGAACACTCAAAAAGAACCCGGTATGACTAAACGGTTCTTTGCATAGTGAAAGAGAATATGCTAAGGATTGTTCTATATAGAACCATTTTGAAAATGTTTCTATACAGTATCAACAAGCTTGACATTGTAACAGTAGAAGAACCCTTTTTGGTGGGGCATAGAACCATCTTTAGCAAATTCTACATCAATCTTAAGAACCCTTTCACTATGCAAAGAACCCTTTAATGATGCAAAGGGTACTCTGAGTGACTCCGCAAAAGTCCTTGCTACGGTCAAACATAATTAATATTGCATTGTTTATATTTGTCAGATGTCCTTCTCTAAGTCTTCATGCTTGGAATCAAGATTGTTCTGTGAAATTGACTCTTGGAATTGACTAACATGGAGCTGCATTCAGAGCCGGCTCCAAAATTTCTGGAATCAAACAGCCCAACTAGCTACAACATTTTGAGTCTGTTTGGTAAAAGTAAGGGTACAGTCCTGCTGTTCTGTTATTTAGGTCAGGGGTTCAGAACCTTTTCCACCACAAGGCCAACCTGGCCCATTGGTAATAATAATAATAATAATAATAATAATAATAATACAATTGAAAATTAATAATAAAAACAACATTGACCCAGTCTCGACTCAATTCTGCATTCTGTACATGTTCATTCACCGGATACTGAATGAGGAGAGCACAGCAGTGACCTCTTTTTCCCCATTATCTAATTTCAAACCTGCATGCATGTTTTTCTGTTTGAATGCATTGCAGATATTCAGGCTGTTATAGTTGGATATTTTCAGCACAGCAATATGTGACGTGTGACAGAGGACATAAAAGATCAGCAGATTAGGTTAACATAGGTTTGCTTAGTACCATAAATCAAGAATAATGATGGCAAATTAAGTGAAATGTTTCTGAAACCCATTTTTATACTAGTCTCTCATGAGTGGACGAGTGAAATGTCGGCGAGGCAAAAAATAGACAAGGCTGCTTTGCTGTGTTTTTACAAGTCTTTTTATTGATCTTTCTTATTATTAAGTCAATTATTTTTCACTTATTTTGATGACAAAGTACCAAATGAATTACGTTGTGTAGAAGATGATGACTGTCCTCCATCTAACGGGGCTGTGATTTGACCAATGGTGGCTAAAGATTTCCCTCCAGTGCCATCCCCGGCCCTCTAAGGACCAGTGGCTCCCCTCTGTAGGCCCGAGGACCACCAGAGGGTGCGTCATGGCCCACTTGTGGTCCGTGGCCCAGGGGTCGAAACCCTGATTTAGGTGACAGTAACATTACAGCGATTCTCCAACTGAAAAATGATTCCAGCTTAGCTGAATCTAACAGGTTTGGCCGTACTGCTCCACAGGCAGTGGCTGCACATACGAGGTTAATCTTAATACGTCAACTTCTGACAGCGTCAACTACATCCGTTACATCGGTTCAAACTCCGCCCGTCCAAAGAGCGTGAGACCTCCGGCCAAGCCTCTCTGGAAGTGCTTGTTTAAGTTAGAGTGAATTAGCGGGCCGCCTTCTCCGAGGCTTGTGTATTAGCTTTAATGAATTATGTGTCACACATTTGCCTGTTTGGCAACACCTCTCTCCATTAGCCCTAATACTAATGCCCACAATGGCCGCAACCCAAATGGACGACCTGCCCTCCTCTGCACTCTGCAGAGAATGCGAAAGCAGTGGCGCCCGGATGCATGTAAGTGCGTCGTAAAAGTCGTTCCTCCTCATCCGAGGCGCATCAAGGTGTGTTAGGGGGCAATCAGCTAACATCGGCAGGTCAGCAGGAGACGGCTCGAGCCTGCAGGCAATTTTCAGTTGCCTGCGATGGGAAAATTACGTGACTAGATGAAAGATTCCTCCCACATAAAGGCTGCTGTAATGGCCGTATTTGGGCATCCGTGCAGCAGGGACTGTGCGGCCTGTCTGTCTGGTGCTTTTACGTCCACAGCTGCTCCGAGCAGATGCTTTCTCTCCGCCAGCGTCCTGCCTGTTTAGGAAGCGGACGAATACTCAGACTCTCCCCCCTGAAGACGACTTGGGATGTTTGTGTGGTTTTATTTACCAAAAACAGTCATGGTTCATTTTCTCATGACTGTTTCCCGATCTCAGGCTGTTTTTGTTCAAGTGCCTTTAAAGGACCCATATCATGGAAAAACAAATTGTCCTCACTTTTTCCTGAAATAAAGTAATTTAATCGACTATGTAAACACTGTTAAAGTTTTAAAGACGTACGATTCACTCCCTATTCCATAAACCGAGCTGCGAAAACAGCCCATTTTCAATTAGTTGTTTTTGTGATGTCACAAAACCCAATGCATTTACATTTACCTCCTATTCAGACATGTTATAAGGAGTGTTTTAGCTCTTACTGCTTCCTAAATGAGGCGCAATACAAGGCAGCCAATCAGAACAGAGCTCCTACATGTATCATTTTTAAAGGCACAGCAACAAAAACAGCTTGTTTACTTCTATTAGGATAAAGGTAACTTGGAAAATAGTCACAAAAATGAATTACAACCATTTTTTGTACATAAATCCACACAAACATTGTAAGTGGCCCTCAGGTGAACAAATAAAATACAAGAAAAATGTAGGACACGGGCCCTTTAAGACTGATACATGTAAATTACCTCTGTTCTGATTGGCTATTCTCAGGGACAGTGGCACAAAATCAGCCAGATTTGTTTTCCAACAGCACAACATTTAATCATGTTCTCAACGTCTTCCACTGTGATAACTCTGCCACAGACTTTCAGCGTTAACAACAGGTGAATGGGTGGCTAAGCTGGTTGTGACATCACAACCACCACACAGGCTGTTTCTGGCTCATTCAAAAAGCAGCCCGAAAAGTAGAAACAGTTCTAAATTCAGTGTGAATGGGTGAAGGCCGCATAGGCGGATATATGGAAATGTGTTGCTTTTTGTGACATCACAAAAATGAAGAATTCAAAACAGGCTGTTTTTGCAAATGAGTTTTCATATATGGACTGAAAAGTGAACAAAATTACATACTACAACTATTCTATTTGGAAAAAAGTGAGGAAAATTTCCCTGATATGGACCCTTTAAACTAGGCTGCGTATTATGAATAACTCATAATGTACACTATGCTTTGGCCAGGCCTGAGTAAGTAGGCTGTGGCCTACATCTCTGCACCCATCCATAGATTTTGACCTCCACAGATAATTTTCTACACTATAGACACTTTCAATGTCTATAATAAGGTCAATCACCATAAATACACCATAACTAATTGCCCACAACTGGTGGATTGGCAGGGCTGGCAAATCCCTGTACAATGTAGACATCTAGTGGCCATGAGCTCTAACCAGAAACTGGCAACCCCCCTTTTGGGACAGATCTCCAAAACTAGTCCATGTGAAGTTTGCAGTGAGTTTAAAATTTAGAAGCTGAAATGATCCTGTGACTGTGTTGAGTATTACTTGTAACAGAATATGAACTCATTTGCGCATCATAACCTGGACCTTAAAGGGCCCATACTGCGGAAACCTGAATTATCCTTGCTTTTATTAAATAAATGAGTTTTATATAAAGCATAACTACCATTCGCCCCTCAGTCCACGCAATCCATATATGGAAATTAAACTCTGATTGTTTTTGTGACGTCACAACAACCAGTACATTTACATACATACAGCCTACAGCAGTTTTACACTCATGCTGTAGTTACAAGTGTTTGAACCCAGACTGCTTATCGAATAAACTGCAATATAGAGCAGCCAATCAGAATAGAGTCATTTACATATATCAGTCTTAAAGGCACAGTAACCAGTCCGATTTAGTTATAAGGGACAAAGATAGCTTGGAAAAAAGGATCAAGTAAAAATGAATTATGGCTATTACTACTATATATAGAATCACAAATGTTATAGGTATATCTCAGATAAAAATAAATAAATAAAATATAAGAAGAATGTAGGATGTGGCTCTTTAAATCTAAATGAACTCTGTAGTTAGTAAACACTTTGTAAACAAGTAAGTTAGGCTAACGTTAATTCCAGTTTTTCAGTACAAAAAGTGATACGAATGTGTAAAATTCGCCTCTTTGTGGTTTTTATTTGTTTATTTTAATATTTTAACCCCCCTCTTTTCCTCACAATATGTCACGAGGCTGAGAGCTTCTTACTCGCCAGCTTTTAAATTCGAATTTTCCGTTCCACCTTAAATGCAGCCGTTAACGTTCCGTTCTGGCACATCTACACCGCTTCAGCCTCTACACCGCAGCGCCATTTAAGGTGGAACGGAAAATTCGAATTAAAAAGCTGGCTGATGGACCGACTCCAGCCTGGTCAATAGGTCACTGTTCCGCGCTGAAAACGGTGTGGATGCCGTCGTTCCCGCCGCGGAGCTGCTCGAACAAGCCGTCCATTCTCTCTGCAGCCTGAGAGAAAATCCTCTGGGAGACTTCCGAGCTGCTCTCTTCCTCCAGGCGACCACCGCTTTCTGAATGTCACGTTTCTTCCAAGCGAGCGTAGACAATGTGGACTGCAGCGTGGAGTTTATGGGGTCCTCTCCTTTTCTCCCTGGCTTTTGGCGAACGACCACGAAGGTAAAGTCGCCAGAAATGGCAGAACATTAACGCTAACTTTCTTAATGCTAACCGTCGGCTCGGGTGTAGCGATAGCTGTGTGTCCGCTGTCTGAGTGAGGAAAGAGGTGGAATAGGTGGACTAAGGAGCCCGAATTACCCTCGGAAAGGAAAAGTAAAGTTATTTCAGTCAGATAAAGTCAAGAAGAAGTAAAAGTAGATACAAAAAACGAATTTGTGTACAAAAAACCCTCATGTAAGTTAGTTAACCTTACTATAGAACTGCAGAACTGCAGTGGAGCTCCTTGAAGGGGAATTCCACCAATTTTTCCAAATTTCTGAATAATTCACTCCTTGAAATGTAAACAGAGGCATGCACAGTGGTGGTGATGGGAACCAGGGGTCACAACACAAATATAGCCATTTTATTTACTATCCAGAACCACCAGAACACACACGTGTCCTGTTTCATATGTAATGCTGGTGATATAAAATGATGTAAAATAGTCATAAATCTGAAAATATTACATTTTCTTTGGGGGCTGTTTTTACTTAGACTGCCCTGTGTGTACCCCTCCACCATGAATGTCTTAAAATACATTTTAGTCCAAAACTTTATCCCCAAACTGTTGTAAAATAATGTCTCAGGCACCAGGCAGCGTATATCTAACAATTACTTGTAATAAGTTTCTGTGAGGGAGCTTTTAGAGGTGGACGTCTGGTTCCTATCACCACTACTGTGAGCAATTCTGGCTGGAAGTTTGTCTAAAATGGAGCATTTTACACCAAACCACTCTGAATGACTCTGTTTACATCTCAACCATTTAATTATGTAGAATTTTTGAAAAATCTATGGAGTTCCCCTTTAATTTAACAGGGTCCGTTAGCTATTCTTCTCTTTTTTGGGGCTAAAATAAGAAGATAAACCTCAGAAATGAGAAGTGTGAGTGACAGCAAAGCATGACCAAAAGCTAAACCATCAGAACAGAATGAAATTAAACCCGTCTGAAGAGTTTAATGCCTTTAAAAGCTCCTACACAGAAAGTTATTACACAAAGTAGTTATGAATACGCTGCCTGAAGCCTGAGACATTGTTCTATGACAGTTTTGAGAGCATTTCTAAAGTAGATACATGGTGAAAAGGTACACTGGGAGCGTTCTGAGGCAAAATAGTGTCCAAAGAAAACTTTATTTTTCAGATTTTCCACTTTTTTACCATCATCAACATTATATAAAAACTCAGAAGGCACGTGTAGATTCACTGGCCATTTTGGATGGTAAGTAAAATGACTATATTTATGTTGTAGACAACACAGTCCTGGTTCCTATCACCACCACTGTAAAGAAATCTGACTTTGAAAGTTTGTCTTCAGTGAACCATTTCACCTTAAAACACTCTAAGTGGCTTTGTTTACATCTCAGTGATTGAATTGTGAAAGAATTTTGAAAAAAAAATGTGGAATTTAAAAATTGGTGGAGTTCTTCTTTGGGGAGATGTTTTTAGGATCCTTTTAGATTTGAAATTAAACTTAAAATGGAATTAGAAACTAAATATTCATGATTCAAAGTTCATGTAGCTCAGTAAAACGGAGAGTTCTTTCTTCACTGAGTAGAAATTTGAAAATGCTTACTTAATAAACGTCTCTACATGAGACAGTAGCTAAAACAGTGAGGGCAGTAAATTGTTGTGTTTATTTGTCCCCACAGTTCCCACAGGCCAGTGTTCGCATGTGGTGGGAACTTTACTGGGCGTTCGGGCCTTATTGGGAGCCAGGGTCACCCTGCGGTTTACCCGTCTAACACCAAATGTGTCTGGAGGATCACGGTGAGGAGTTCATTTCATAACGGCATTAGTGCTTTTTAATGTGCTGATAGCTAATTATGTTATAATCCTATGACAGATAGAGTTAAAAGGCCCATATCGTGGAAACATGAGAGTTTGATGTTGTACGTAAACAGTGTTAAATTTCATACACAGTCCTAATATAGAAACTAAGCTGCAAAACCGCCTTTTTTGAATTTATAGTTTTTTTGATGTTAAAAAGACAACATATTTACATATGTCTGCCTATTCAGCCTACAACAGTGTAGCCTCACCCACTCATGCTGAAGATATAAGGAGTGTTTCGGCCTGGACTGCTTTTTCAATGAGCGCAGCCAATCAGAACAGAGCTCATATCCGTCTTAATGGCACAGTAACAAAAAACAGCTGGTTCAAGGGACAAAGAGAGGTTGGAAAATGGTCACATAAAAATGAATTATACATCAAATGGGAAAAATTGATATCCAAGTAGGATGTGGGCCCTTCAGAGCAACAGTTGAAAAAAATGAATTTACACAGTGGGGGGAAAGTAGCGCAAGTTTGGGCCCTTTACAAGAACAGCACTGTTCCTTTAAAGGGCCCATGGTCTACATTTTTTGGGGCGTTTTATTTTTTTCCCAAAGGTTCACTTTTATTTCATTCACTTTAATTAATTTTTACACTACCTCTTGGAATTAAACAAGCTGTTTTGGTTACTGTGCCTTTAAGACTGATATATGTAAATGAGCTCTGTTCTGTTTGGCTGTCCTGTATTGTTTCTTGTTTGTCTCTGATTTTACATCTATAAGATGGACTGACAAGGTAGGAGTGTCTAATAGAGAGGACAGTGAGTGGACACAGTGTTTAAAAACTCCAGCAGCACCGCTATATATATATATATATATATATATATTTTCCTTTAAAGTTGACATTTTGGAGATAGAAAATTTGTTTTTTTACAAAATATGGACCCTTTAAATCATGTATAATGTTTAGTGTCTACGCAGAATGAATAGACTACAAAAGCAATAAAGGTTTTATAACCTTCATTTTTTGAGGTCTTGTCCTTAGTGATAAGAGCTGGCATCAGAACCGCCCTGAATGCCAAATGTCCACAGGTGCCTCAGGGTAGAGTGGTGTCCCTCTCGTTCCGCGTGATGGACCTGGAGAGCGACAATCTGTGCAAATACGACTACGTGGACGTTTATGACGGACATGTCAGCGGCCAGCGGCTTGGCCGCTTCTGTGGCACGTCCAGGCCCGGCGCGCTGGTCACCAGCAGCAACAAGATGCAAGTGGTCATGGTGTCGGATGCCAACACAGCTGGGAGTGGTTTCCTGGCCGCTTACGCAGCCGTTTGGCCGAACGAAGGAGGTAATGACCCTCTTACTCTACCAGCTCATTACAGGCTAAATATGGAAAGAGGCCCAGCCCTGTGTTATTTGAGTTCAGCCGTGCTGTAGATGGATAAGTATGATGATTTTGGAGTCCACTGTTGTTTCCTGTAAGCTGTAATGTAAGCTGGGTGTGCTCTATCTGGTTCGGCTTGCACAAACATTAGATTTGGAAAGGATCGGTCACAAGTTTGGTCACACCTACTCATAGCTGTGGTTTTCTTCATATTGATTTTCCGCATTTTAGAACGATAGTGAAGACATCCAATCAGAAATATTGACCTTTTGTTCAGTAAAGCTATTTAGAGCCACCCCAGCCTGACTGGCTGAAACAGATCTACAAGGGCAACATATTAAACTAATTAACTTACCGAGGCACACATAATAATTAGGATGATGTAACTATAGGAGTTCATTCAGTCAATAGAGCATTTGTGAGGTCGGACTCTGATGTTGGATGAAAAGGTCTGGCTCACAATCGACGTTCCAGTTCATCTCAAAGGTGTTCGATGTGGTTGAGGCCAGGGCTCTGTGCAGGCCACTGGAGTTCCTTTACACCAAACTCACCCAGCCATGCCTTTATGGAGCTCACTTTACTGGAACAGGAAAGGGTCTTCACCCCTTCACTGGAATTAAGGGGCCCAGACCCTGAAAAACAGGCGCTGTCGGCATTATGCATTCCGTGCACGTCGTAGTGCTCTGCTGACATCCACCAAGCCCAGATTCGTCCGTCAGACTGCCAGACAGTGAAGTCTGATTAATCACTCCACAGAGCACGTTTTCACTGCTCCAGAGTCGAGAGGCCAGGTTTCAGGTTTCTAATTATTTTAGGAATAATTGTTTAGATTTATAGTAAAATATTAACATGTTTGTATGATAATAAACGTGGGTGTTATATTAAACATCCAGCAAAGCTTGAATGAAAAATATAAGATATAAATATGATAAAACACGGCTTAAAAACTGCCAATCAGATCTGAGAACTGTGTGGGCGTGGCTAATGAGCAGCTTAATTGACGGCTCTCCATCCAACACTCCTAGCCTGCTCCGCCCCTCATACAGAACTGAGATCATTATCCAGCTTTTATGTGACGCTAAAAGGATGAAAAAAGTCACGGATGAAAAGATGGACAGAAGAAGCCACGCGTGAATGAAGGAACAGATGAAAAAAGTCTGAAACTGTCCTGTGTGGGCGTGGCAAGAGATGCAGCCCTGTGATTGGTCAGGGGGATGTTTACAGAAGCTTTACCCAAGATTACGTCCGCCCAGTTTACATCAAGAGGGGAGAAATATAGTGAAATATATCGGTCATTTGTTGGTCATTGGAACTTTACTCAAAGTACATTATACTTAGTACATGTTTACTGTTTGCCTGCAAGAACAAGATCAACCTGATTAGCAAGAAAACACAGATTTAGGTTCCCTGGGTTTTTAAATGTCTTTATGGTTATGAAAACTCACACAGTCAGGCACTTTTAACTGGTACTCTATTCAATGCATAAAGTGAATAATAACTGTATTTTGGATAATTTGGTGCATCCAATCTTTATGGCACTGAAAAAGCCACAAAGACTGATACTATTGATTACTGATACAGTACATCCTCAGTGCGTGTGTAATGCTGTCCGTGGCAGGAGACCGGTACTGTGGTGGATTCTTGAATAAACCTGGAACCTTGAAGACTCCTAATTGGCCAGACAGGGATTACCCTGCCGGTGTGACGTGTTCATGGCGCATCGTGGCACCTCAGCACCAGGTGAGCTTAATTACCTGTAGGCTACGTTCACATTACCAGGCTGAAGTGGCACAAATCCGATCTTTTGTTCTAATGTGACTCAGATCTGATGTTTTCAGGGCTGTGTGGACACAAATCTGATCTTTTCAAATCCGACCTGAGTCACTTTCATATGTGGTCATAGATCAGATACGTATCCGATGCGTGGCCATGCGACCTTAATGTGACGCTCAGGTCAGAATTCATGTGCTTTTTTTCCACTGCACATGTGCCATCATTCAGTGTTACCATGGCAACAGCACCGAACAGAAGTTAAAGCCTGTAAACGGTGGAAAAGCAGCTCATCTCACCTTTTCCACCTTCGTCTCGCTCTAATAATGAAGCTGAGAGCTGATCAGAGTTAATGATCTTCTCAGCGAAGCTCGTTCTGCTCGTTAGTTTGTGCTGATGATGAACGTGATTCATTCACGTGACGTTACTGAGTAGGATCTGCGCATGCGGCTCATTTCAGGATGCCGGTTCGTCACATTAATGACAGATTTGAATCACTTACCTAAACGAGTGTGAACCATCGTGTCAGAGAGATCGGATTTGAGCAAAAAATCTGATTTGAGCAACGAGGCTTGTAATGTAAACGTAGCTTTAATGTGATAGTTTGGTGAAAATAGGATTTTCCTCTTTTCCCAAATGCAGTGAATCAGACAAGACGTGAAGTTTGCTTCTTTGGTTTGGCACCGGAGCCACGAGGCTAATGTAGTTGTTTATCAATCACAAGTAAACGTGTTTATGTGGTTTCTGACACTGTATGACACACTGTTATCTGTTAAAATGGTCAAATGTTGCAGAGTTAAAAACAGCTTGAATTTTGTTTGTACTTCTGCAAGTTTTTAACAAATTAGGTTTTTTTCACAAATTGTTCCTTTAAGAGGCTAAAAAACCCATTTTATGTCAGAGCTGGAGGATTCAGAATGTGAGAAAGAAAGAGAGAGTAAACAGCCTTCGCCTGGCTGGATAATTAACTGCTGGCTGATCTGCTGCACTGCTAATTAAATGCACCACGGATTAGAGCCTATTGGGTCAACACAGTATTTACTCAGTTTAACTCGAGATTCAGCATCTCTTTGCTGGACGAGTCTCTTAAAGTCAAATTTGCACAGTTTCTCCAAATGTAGTTGATCAGCCAGGACATGCTCGGTGTCTGAAGATTGCTTTCTTTAGTTTTGCACTGGAGCTGCGAGGCTCTTGTAGCTAGGAAGCCTACAACCACTAATTAGCAATGTGCCAAACTGCGTTTCATCACACTCTTGCCTCAAACCGTGTTGAGTTGTTAAGTAGTCTTAAGCAGACTTGCTTAACATACTGCCATCTATAAAAATGGACATTTAAAATTCAGGTTTTAACCCTTGTGTGGTGTTGATGTTGTTGTTACCCAGTGGTCTGGTGGACCCACCGTATTGTTTTTAAAATAAAATAACAATTTATGTAAAAATACCAGATGTTTAAAATATCTCAAGTGGCCGGCGTAGGGTTCTCTTTTAGCAGCTGTAGCCAGTCAGCAGCCTGTCCATGTTGTCCACAACATTCCCGTGGGAGCCACAGGACCCGCCACAATATCTTGCGGCATGGGACTAATTTTCAGTGTTGTGCGCAGGAGGAATCCCGCAAATGAATGAATAGCCGAAATAAAGTAGAACGATCACTATATCATATATATAAACAGTATAAAATGATAACAGTAAAACAGTTAAAATGAATGAAGTCATGCTAAAGAGTTATGTAGCAACTGATCATGTGAACAACACGCAAATTAGTGTAGCTAACAGAGACGGCAGAGTCTTCAGTCTGACGGCCAAAACTGCCCAGGAAAACACCAAAAATAACCTCTCTGAGGTTTAATTCCTGCTTTGTGTTTACTGGGAGTAAATGGCGTTTGGTGAAGTTATTCACAGTGAGCCTGATGACCATGACTGCCGTGTTATAGCAGAGGATTAATGTATTTGTGAATAGACTATGTCAGATATTGGATGTCAGTTTGCCTTGATGGAACTGTGCGGGCGGGAGCGGGACTAAGCATTCCGATTTTCTGCGGGGACGGGATGAAATCTAGCAGGAGCTGACGGGAGCGGGACTGAAAAAACAGTCCCACACAAACCTCTGACTTAATGTACACATGAATAACTGAACCAGTGATAAACTAAAGACACCAAACATCTGTTGGCTGATTGTCTACATTTTGAGTAAAATGAGAAAAACTGTGAATTTGATTTCAACTACTCGTTTAAAACAAACAGATACGGTCACATACATGATGTTGCATGGTTTCAGTGTCATTTGTTCGTCTTCGACTATAAAATATAGTTGATCGACTGTATTCCTGATTCGCTCTGCATTGCTATCTCAGATAATAGAGCTGAAGTTTGAGAAGTTTGACCTGGAGAGGGACAACCACTGCCGCTACGACCACATGGCTGTGTATAATGGCGGGGAGGTGAGTGAAGCGCGGAGGATCGGCCGATTCTGTGGAGACAGCCCTCCTGCGTAAGAGCCCATCTCTGCTGTTCTAGTGTTGTGGTCAGTTCATGTTCTTACAGAATCTCCATACATCCAGCTTACTCTCACGCTTCAGTGTTTCAGCCACACAATACCAGGGTCAGACTAGACGTGTGTTTTTTATGTTTGTCTAGAGTTATTGTTGTTTTACTGTAGTGTTCTTTTTACTTTATGCAATGTAATTACATATTTATAAAGGTTTACCAGTGCGTGATATCGCAGTGCAAAGCTGTGACAGTGCCCTGTGGAGAAGGACGTTAATTACAGTTTTTTAAAAGCTTTTTTTTTTAAAAGCTTCAAATTTAAAATGTTAATTTCTGAACACAGGGCAGCACGGTGGCGCAGTGGGTAGCGCTGTCGCCTCACAGCAAGAATGGCCTGGGTTCGATTCCTGGCCGGGTAACCAGGGTCATTTCTGTGTGGAGTTTGCCTGTTCTCCCCGTGTCTGTGTGGGTTTCCTCCGGGTACTCCGGTTTCTTCCCACAGTCCAAAAACATGCAGTTAAGCTAATTGGACTTGCTAAATTGCCCCTAGGTGTGAATGTGTATGTCTGTCTGTCTGCCCTGCGATGGACTGGCGACCTGTCCAGGGTGTATCCTGCCTTCCGCCCAATGACAGCTGGGATAGGCTCCAGCACCCCACCGCGACCCAGAAGGATAAGCGGTTTAGTTGATGTATGTATGTATTTCTGAACACTGAAATAAAACTACATTGAATTTCAAGGAGGTTGAAAGGTAGAAGTGGGTAATATGGCAAAATTATAATATTATGATATTTGAGGAAATTTTCCAGATGCACCATATGCCACAATATTTACATTTTCTCACATTTGAAAAGTTGTAACAGACAAAAAGGTACCAACCGTGCTTCATTTACAAAATACCATCAAAACCTATGATCATATTTTTTTTAACTGCACTAGATACAATGAATCAGGACTAATGATGCTCTCGATGTAATAAAACATGAAGTTAGTAGGTGTTCTTAAAGTACTGATGATCCATCGTGTACTCAGAAAAGCATATTATGATGTAATTTATCACAAAAATGATCTGTATTCAAATCATTTGTATGCAGATGTGAATTTCCAAGTAATATATTTCAGTGCTAGAATTTGGGTAAAGCTTATTATTAAGAATTTAGTACCTTTTTTAAAATTCAGATTTTTTGTCCAGGCCTGTTATTTTGGTCATGAAGACTAGAACATCCACTTTTTTGAACATGCCAGACTGCCAGTTAGTTGTGGTTCTGATGTCACGGCATATAGTTGTTAGGTTGCTTCTGATTGGTCTAACTCATCTGCAGTTTATAAGCTGATCGGATATTTGGTTAACGTTCCCCAATTAAGACAACATTGTTAATAAAAAATGGCTATAATTAAAATTGCGGCTCTTGTCATTTGAAAATTGCACTCTTTTAAACTGCGATTTTGATGTAAAAGTGATTGATAAACTGAGCAACAATTGAAAGCTTCTGTACCTTAGCGTACCTGAGTGTTAAACAAACTTAATTCATATTTAACCATTAAAAATTGCTGTCATCGTCTTTGATAACAAAAACAAGCTGTAAAGTTACATTAATTGTTTCTCACTTCTGGCTCCCTGAAACAAGTGAAGAAATTGTGTGGGAAGTGTGGATTCTAAAGGTTCAGTCCACCCAATTTTCGTTTTTCTAAGTAGAACAGGAGACATTATCATCATGTGAACTTCATGAAAGTTACTGTTGTGTGTAAATTTGTGAAAAGCAAAACCATCTTTTACCTCCTTTTGCCATGTTTCTGTTGGGGCCGTCACAAAATCATGAATAGTGCAAATCATCCATCATCTAAACCACTTATCCTTCTGGGTCGCGGTGGGGTGCTGGAGCCTATCCCAGCTGTCATTGGGCGAAAGGCAGGATACACCCTGGACAGGTCGCCAATCCATCGCAGGGCAGACAGACAGACATACACATTCACACACACACCTAGGGGCAATTTAGCACGTCCAATTGGCCTGACTGCATGTCTTTGGACCGTGGGAGGAAACCGGAGTACCCGGAGGAAACCCACACAGACATGGGGAGAACATGCAAACTCCACACAGAAATGACCCTGGTCACCCGGCCGGGAATCGAACCCAGGCCATTCTTGCTGTGAGGCGACAGCGCTACCCACCGTGCCCTAGTGCAAATCATGAAATCATTCAATTTGATGAATAATTGTCATCTAAATTATCACGATTAATGTTTTAATCGTCTTTTCTTGTTCACTGTATGCAGTTATTAAAGTGGCCAAATTGGCTTATTGGCTGTCTTGCTTCCTAGCAGTGTTTACTTAGTAACTAACACTGGTAGCACTGTTGAACTGACGCTCTCACACAGAGGATCAGCAAAGCTGATATTTTTTAATTCTTTATTTTTTCTTGAGATGAAATGTAAGCAAAACCCCTCCTTCTGCTTGTATACATGCTAAAACATTAGAACTGGCTACATATCTAACAAATAAACATTACTCAGCTCCACCCTCTGAATATGTCAGAGCACTATGTTAGAAGTTAATTTCAGGACCTTCTATATTTATATATTTTTTATTATTCTATTTTTCTACAGTGAGTGTTTATTTTTATGATTAGTGTTTAGTGTTTTTTTTATGTATATTTAAATTCACACTTTTCCTGTTTACTTTCTATTTAATGTTTTTGCTACACCATGGGGTCTGAGAGTAATGCAGTCTCAATACTCTGTATGTCCTGTACATTTTGTAGTATTGACAGTAAAGCTGACTTGACTTGACTTGACTTGATAAGCTCTATGATGTCCCAATGAATGCATGTAATGCTTTCTTTTATCTATATTTATTTGTCTCAACTTAATGCACCCACTTCACATTTTGTTTGTTGCAGCTTAATATGATGTGTATTAGTCAATATGTGAAATCTAACAACAGAAAATGAAATGAAGCCCATGATTGGATTCTCAAAAAATCTCAATTTTAATCAACAGGTTTTCCAGTGTCTAATGTCATTCTTATCTGTCTGTTCTTATTCTGTCTGTTCAGCCCAATCTACTCTGACGGCAACCAGCTCTTCATTCAGTTTGTCTCTGACCTCAGTCTGACCGCTGATGGCTTTATTGGTCATTACCTGTTCAGGCCTAAAAACTCCACCATCACAGGCTCTCCTCTAACCGCAGCTCCAACCACTCCAACCACCGCGAGGCCCACAGGTTTGTGCTCCCCCTGTACTGTTAATGCTCCGTATGCATGTCCGCTACCTGTCATGCTTTCTTTACCAGTTTGCATTAACTTTGCACATTAAAGACTAATGAAAAGAGCAAAATGGGATCAAGTGCTCTGTTGGGTATGATGTCAAAGCCCACAACAGCCCTCATCAGCACTCAAAGGTTCCAGTGGTTTAGCTTTGGCTTTGTCCCCTTTGACTCATTTAAAGCTGCATGGTTATGTCCGGATTGACCTTGGTTAACTATCACTATATAAAAGAAGCATCATGCTGCCTTTATTCTTGGATGCACTGTGATTCTTTTTAAGTGAGTGCATGAGTTCGCCCTTCAGAGCACATTTGGAATCGTTAAGCGCTCATTATCATTGTTAAACAGGCTACTGATAAAACACATCTGATAGGTGATTTTTATTCCTGTTCAAGTGTTTGCGATACAAATTTGCCAGCTTTATTGGATCGTGTTCCCTACATATCAAGTCAATGCAACATCAGCACTAAAAGATCATGTTATAGTCAGAGAAGAGTAAATTAAATGGCAGAATTAGCCACATCTTTGCTTGGGCTTGCATGGGTTAATCAAAAAGAGTTTCAATATAGTTTAGAAAAGATAGTTTGGGAATGAAAACGCTCAAATCATTATTTAGGCAAACCTGCTCTTTATACCAAGGAAGACACTTTGATGAATATGAAGCTAGATAAACTATGTAAGTTTTGGGGATTTTAACAGCTCCGTCCGCGGAAAGTTTCCAGGTGAAACTGTTTCATTCAAAACAACACTCTGCGCTTCTGAGTAAGCAGTAAAAATATTGAGAAACAGTCTCGGTACTGTCTATTTTGCAGAGATGATTAAAGCTACACTCTGTAAGTTTGGAGAATTTGAAGCCCTCTCTGGTGGAAATGTGTAATTGCACACAACATGCAGAAGAACATTTCGTAACATGGGTTGTGTCACGGGCCCCTTTCCCGAGCGGATGAATCTGATGATTGCAAGCACATTGAAAGAGAAATCAAAGAGAAGTCAGTCAAAACATGGTGAAGGACTGAGTGAATTATCTGTTATTGCCATCTTATCTTCATCAGTGTACTGTAGAGGTGGATGATATGGCCAGCATGCAATATTTCAAGAAATGTTCACAATACACAGTATTCCTCAATATTTATTATTATTATTATTATTTATATAAATAATAAGTTGAAACTGACAAAAAGAGCCCATTGTGCCACATTTGAAAGGTATTGTCAAAAACTTCATTGATTTTTATTCAAGATTACAGATAATAAGCTGCACCAAATCCAATAAACAGGACTAACTATTCTCCCATTGTAATGATGTAATTTATCCTGATAACGATAAATATAATCATATTGACCAGCCCCAGCAGAATGTTGATTTATATAGTTTAATTAGAGTATAATGTTGAAACCATCAGTGAACCTACACTACAGTTTTGTATGTAATGGTGATGATGTTAAAATAGTGCTCAATCAAAAAAGTTTTCTTTGGGGACTATTTTGCATCACAACGCCCTGAATGTACCTTTGGACCAAAAACAGGGCAAAAAAATATTGTAAAGCTATTGTGAAACAATGTTTCAGGGATCAGTCGGTGTGTTCATGTAATAACTTTCTGTAAAGGAGCTTTTAGAGGCAATAAAAAGAAATTTAGAAATTTTGAAAATTCGCCTTTAATTTAAAAAAGTGACAGTGAGCACGTTTATGTGCACTTAATAATCCGATAACTGCAGAAAATCTGATTTTTTCAGTAATCAATGTGTTTACATCCACTGGAGTAATCAGATAATGGGAAACTGGGTCTACATGAGTCAGACAGTAATCAGATTTCTGCTTTGCAACCAGCCAGTAAACTCACAGAAGAAGAGACGTAACACAGACTTCAAACTTAATCCGCGGCTTTATAAAAATACATTGAGCCACTTCACCTGAAAATATGAACATACATCATCTCGTGGGTGTTGTGTTAAACGCTGCTCGCTTATTTCGGGTACCGCCGTCTGTTTTCGCACAGCGCAGACCGAGAAATCCGAAAGAAATCAGAGTAAGAGTTCACATGCACTGAGAAATCTAATTACTGAGCTAAAATCCAGCTCTCTTTATCAGATTTCTTAATCAGATTTCTAGACCTTACTCTGAAATAAGAATTCGGAGTGTCCTGTTTACATGACCATTTGAATGATCAGATAACTGCAGAAATCAGATTACAAATCAGATTATTAAGCGCTTGTAAACTCACTCAATGAAAAGCAACATCAGTCTGAAAATTTCACAAGAAGGCAAAATATCCCCAAACTTTTGACAGGCAGTAAATTTAATAGCAGTGTTATGATTTTGTATATGTAATGGTCTTTGGACAGTATGGAATGTATTAGCTTGGCCAGACGGGCTGTTTTTCATTTGGCTGCACTATTATTCATAAGCACAAATGCATCAGCATGCTTTTATAATAACTCAGAGTTGTGGAATTACGCTGACGTTTCCTACTGTGGTGATAATGTGTTTTTCTTCCCCACAGCACTTACGTATTCAGAAGCTCTCTGCAAGCAGAAATGCACGAGGACCGGAACAATTGAAAGTCATTATTGCTCAAGTAACTTTGGTAAGGGTTTTTTTTTTTTGTTTTTTTGGCGTTTCTGTTGTTTATTTAGACTCGCACGGCCGACAAAGCAAAGCATAGAAAACGATTGCATCTGATATTGTTCTTGCTTCCGGTGCTTGCTGTCCTCTGTCTAATATGTTTGCTGAAAAGGGAAAGCTTGGACGCTGAATGGCCCATTGTTGGTCACTCGTCTAGACGGTGATATTTATGAGCTGGAATACGAGCAAACAGATAATGTTTTGAATAGACAGCAGTGAGAAGCGTCTGTACTGTGGAAAGAACTGATCGTTCCTCAGAGAACAGGAAGCCACGGTGTTCTTTCAGTGACCGAATGTTTTGTGCTTAACCTTTAGCACTTTAGTCGAGGGGTATTTTTGATATTTTGATATACAATTTGAATATCATTACTTAATTGTACAGTTAATTAGTTACACAAATTAGTAAACAATACATTAGTGAACAATTAACATTCGATTTACAACTTGTAGGGGTGTGAATTGCAGCAGGCTACACAACGTTATTATGATACTTGAGTGTTGCAGTGATATATTGTGATGTATTGCAGTTTGTTTATTTTGACTGCAAGTTATTGAGCATTGTTATTGAGGAAAAACTGTGTACAGTTGTAAAGTAAAGAAATAAAGATTCAAAAAACTTTTTTACATTCACATATTTAGCAGATGCTTCTATTTGTATTAATATTACCCTATATAATATTATCCTTTATATATAGTTCCATGCAAAAGTCAGAGACTACTGTTAATGTATTTCATTTTCAGTCAAAACAGTCGTTTAGCACAAGTTTTTGCAATTATTTACGCGTCACTTGTCTGGAGGTATTTCTGACAATCCACTTGCAAAAGAAAGCATACGCGAAGGAGAATAAGTGAAAAAACTGGAGTTAAAAAAAAAGATTATACAGAGAAAATGGGACTCCTAGCAACCACCTGGAAGACCAGGTAGACACCAAAACTGTCCTCATCAGATAAACAGCACTTAAAGCTTTCATCTTTGAGAGAGATTAAAGCCGTTGGTGTTCTCAGAACAATGGACTGACCAGCTCAGAGTCCGGACCTCAACATCAGTGAATGTGTTTAGGATTTCTTGGATCATGAGTAGTCGACCAGTGCAACCAACTTCTAAGACTGAACTGTGGAGGTGTGTCTGCAGATTTCGTTGAAAAACTGAAAGTGAGTCTCCTGAAAAGAACAGAAGCTGTAATAAAGACGAAGACTGACGCACTGAATACTACAAATGTTGATATTATATTTTAGTTGTTGAGGCTTTTGTGTATTTTCTGTTAAAATATGTTTTGTGTTTTTTTTTACTGATGCTAGAAAATAATTAGCTTGTGCTTATTGGCCATTCTAACTGTAGGTTGAATAGATGAGGGGTGCACACTATCAGGGCAAGATGCCCCCTTTTATGATGTCAGTTTTGGAGCCATAACAGCAACATTGGCTGATTTTTTTAGTTTATTTCTTCCAAGTGTTTAGGCGTATGCATCATCATCATCCTCTAGCATCCTTATGCTTTGCATAGATATGGTTTAGCTTTACAGTACATAGACTGTGTGCATAAGGGGGGATTTTCCCCCATATATATATATATATATATATATATTTACACACATCTATATATATTTAGAGCCAAATTATAATAAAATGTCTCTTCTACTTAATTAACACATATGTGATATTGATTCTATGCACTATGAATGAGAAATAATTCATATAAATTACAGCATGCTTTTGTTATCGTCAGCAGGTTAATTGCTAAGAGAATGCATTGTTTCAGCTCATATCTGTACAGTAATGGCAGTATTACTGTTTTTTATGTTTTCATTGCAGAAGGAAAGAGAAGTGCAAAAAAAACAAGATGCTTTATTTCATCTCAAACCAGTTTTGATCATTACAGTGCACAGTAAAATGCAGTTGTAATCAAATACTGTCCAAAACAGTTCACTGAATATCATATTGGGATTGTTATTGCACCATTGTATTATGAAGGATGTCACAGTTCTGTCCAGCTCTACTGTGTCTGATTCTGAACAAGCAGAGTGTGATATTTTTGTCCATGTCTTCTTTTCACAGTGATAACAGGCACCCTAATCTCTGCAGCCATGCGAGAACAGACTGTCCTCGCCACTTTCTCCATCACCAACGTGTATAAGGAAGGAAATCTGGCCATTCAGCAGGCTGGGAAGACCATGAGCACCAAAATCACAGTCCTCTGTAAAAAATGCCCTTTAGTGAGAAGAGGTGAGTGGGCTTGATAGTAATAGTGACTTTTCCCAACTCAAAGCTGAACCTTATAGCAGAATTTCCCGCTCCTGGTCCTGAGGTGCTTCTGCGCTGCATGTTTTAGTGCCTCTCTGCTCGAACACACCCCAATTCAAATAATAATTTGACGAAAAACAAAAAGTTTACATAGTTTTCCCTTTGTCCCAAATGGAGTCGATCAGCCAAGAAATGTTTGGAGTCTGAAATGTGCTTCTTTAGTTTTGCAGTGGAACTATGAGGCCTGTGTAATTAGCAAACAAGTAATATAAAGGTATACCCCACCAGTTAGCATGTTCAAATTACAGTACTGTACAAAAGTCAGACCCCACCCTTCATTTATTTAATTTCCAGGAATTAAATAGAAGTTATTTATTTTTGAGCATCAGGAAAATAAAAGTAGGAAACATACATTTAACAGAAAATGACACAGAAGCCTCAACAACTAAACTTGATGTCAGATTTATCAGTATTCAGTGTTTCCATGCTTTGCCTTTAGTAGGATCTATTCTTTTCGGGAGACTCACTTCCAGTTTTTTTTCCCCCCAGTTCTCTCCCCAATTTCGATGTATTCAATTTCACCCACTAATTAGGACTCCCCCAGTCACACGATACTACCAGTGCTAGGAGAGCGAAGGCTAGCACAGGCTTTCCTGTGAAGCGCCACCACATCTTTTCAAACTGCTGCTGAACGTAACGTCGTTGGACAGATGAATGCGCTCGGAGGAAAGCGCCAACCCGCGAGTCCTGTTATGTCAGTTTACAGATGCCTGTGCTGACCAGCATCGTGCTGGTCCTGATCTCCTGATGACAGGGTCAGCACGATTTTCGAAGAAATCTGCAGGGATATTTTTCCACATTTCCGAGATTCAGTCTTAAAAGTTGGTTGCACTTTCTTCTTCTCACCATCCAGTTAATCCCAGGAACATTCTGTGACGTTGAGGTCTGGACTCTGAGGTGGTCAGTGGGCCTAAGATCTCCCACTTGGAAGTCAGGCTCTCCAGATCGGGAACAAGGCAAAGTCTACATGGCTACATGCCAGTGTCAGTCGCGTACCGTCGCTGTTTTTTTACCAGTTTTGCAATAAGGCTTAATGTTTTTCTTCGAGGCCAAGATATAAAGACAGCATTAGCCTGCTTCACTCTTTCTCCTGATAGCCGTCACTTGAACTGTATGAGCTGAACTGTATTAGTTCCTCCTACTTACCAAATTACCAGGTACTTAACTGTGGTAGAGAAAGCAAAGTTCAACGGTGTGAAACAATGAGAACTTGAGCCATTTGCTTTAGACATCTAGCGCTGTGAAAGGTAGGCTTCTGGCCTTAAACTGCTGTGGTGTGCTGTCAGTTTCACAGTAACTACTAACATTAGCCAGCAATTTAAAATATTGGTCCCCCTTAAAATGACATCCTTGCTACAGCACTATGGTTCCTGGACACTCGATCAGCGGCCTGATTGTTTTTTTCTAATTTCAGTAGACAAATAGCTCTGATCACACTGCAGACTAAAAGAGATAGACGTCAGATCAGCTACAGAACTTAATGTTCTCAGTTAATGCGTTGCAGTGCTGCCTGTGGCCTAAACATGTCACCAACAATGTACCGTTCCAGAGCAGTTGTCCCTTGTTTGAGGGTAATATGAACTAATCAGTCTCATTCTTTGTGTGCAGACGGCTTAACTGGATACAAAGAAGCAGTTTAAACTTTACATGAAAATGCTTGGATTCCTGGACAAATTGTGTCCAAGAATGGAACCAAAAACCTGGACAATACAGGGAAATCCCGGACGGGTGGCATCTTCACCTTGTGCTGCTGTGGTAAACAGTGAACTGAAGCTCGTGGAGGCGACTGTGGAGCAGTTAGCATAATACTGCTGCATAACGCTGACTGGCCAAAATGGCATTTCTCAGTGAAGTTTCCCTTCACTTCCCTCCACTTCTAACGTTCAAGCTTTCAGAAATATCAGCACTGAAGGGTTTACGGCTAAAAGTGTGGGGTTGATCTGAGAGGATGTGGAGATTTTAGTCGGCAAATTCCAGATTTGCTTGGCTCCATCTCAGGCGGTGACACATTTTAAGCAGGATATGCCATTTTCAACATCATAGCATGTAACCTGAAGCCCATTTTGTCTGTCTGTTCCCCGTCATAGACAGCATTAATAACGGCACGCATGGTTCTCATTTCAGCTCCATGCTTTACCTCGGTTTATTTAGCGTAGAAATGTGGCAGCACCGGCGCAAATGGAAAGTCTGACAGTTAAGCAGAAACGTTTCGTTTTTGCGAGGCAGAAAAGCCACTAGAGTGGAATTTGTTTTGAAAGCAGAACTGGGAATTTGGGGGGACATATGTCATTGTCCGTGGAATGTTTGTGGAATTAGAAAGACAAAAGTGATTGCGGAGATGCTTTATAAAATCCTAATAATATTTTTCTCTTTTTTGCTGTAAAGACTGAACAATATGGACGAGATTATTGCAGTCATATTGCTGCATTTGTGTATTATGAAAAACTATGAATACAGTGATTTCACTGCCTTAAATCAAATTAAAAAAGACTAATTATGCTGTCTTAGTAACAAAACATGCATTGGTCAGTGTTCTTTATTTATCACAATATGATAATTGCCCACCCCTACCAGGGACTGACATGAACTAACAAGGGAAACGGTCAAATTTTATTTCACTTTACCTTAAAAAAAACTGTGATATAACATGATTAAAGATGGGCTTGAATTATTTTGACCTAAACTATTTACATTTCTTAATTCACACGATCCTCAGAATAAACTGTTTTTCCATTTGCAAATCATAGCCTTCTTCAAATTTCAGTATCGCAAAATCTAATAACACAATGACAATTAGCAAACAATATTTTGTGCAGTCTTAGCTACTAGTTCAGGGGTCCTTTCAACAAAAATCAAACCACCTTGGGAGCTGCAACATTTTATGTCCATTTTATTGAAGTAACGTTTTACCATCTTTGCTATAAATATGTCTCAGTATGTGCTGATGTACTAGTGTAGACTAAAAATATAAACGTAAACGCAGACTTACTTTGCTCTGCTTTAAGCTTTAGCTCAGCTGTAGTCACTTTTCTCGCATCTCAGGCAGGAAACATTTCCTCAAAAGTAGAATAGTTTCTCGTAAAACAAGATTTTTTATGAGGCTGAAGTCACTTCTCGTTCGCCAGCTCTCTTGTTTGAATTTTCCTGTTCCACCTTAAATGGTGCCTGAGGCACCAGAATGTATCTGCAGCACCATTTAAGGTGGAACAGGAGACTTGAGAGAAGCTGGCAAACGAGAAGCGACTTCAGCTTCACGTCATTTTAGTGTTTGACAGTTTCTCGTTGCAGATTAAACGCATCAGGAAACCAGCTGGAATGATTATACACGCAAATAAGTCCTTTCGTCTCCAAATCTCCAAATTCTTAAATCTTTCTCTTTGCCTTTTTGTTAGCTACTAGTTGGGCAAGATTGTTTGCATTGTTATAGTGACCAGCAGTCTGTGCGCCAGCCTTCAGGGTTAAAGGGTGAATTAGCAGTTCTACATTAACTCCAGAGTTTAAGACCATTTATTGTTAAACTGTGTTGAACGATCAGCAGAGCTTTATTTTACTGTAAAGGAGGATTATTTTATGTTTACCTACAAATCTGATTCAGCTGTGGAGCCACAACAGGGCAGTAAAAGAGCTGCATGTTGCCGACTGTACCAGGGCCTATCTGCCACTCTGTCATGGGATACTGCTCTCGTCCACACTCAGCATAGATGACTTTATTGTATCTCTTTTTGATGGTTTTATTGTGGTTCTCTTCTCTAGGTCTGAACTACATAGTCATGGGCCAGATCGATGAGCAGGGGCAAGGCATCGTTTCTCCCCACAACTTCGTGATGGCCTTCAAAACTAAGAAGCAGAGAGACCTGACTGTGTTGACCAATGTCCACTGCTGATGGTAGGAGGTGGCCATCATGGATTTGTAGTCTTGTGTTTTCAAACGCACATATAACCTCTGGTATTTATATTTACCAAATCTGGATGCTTTGTAAGTGTGAATGGTCACCTGAACCCATGGTCATACCTGAGCAAGGACCGTTTACTGACACAGTGCTGAGGAACGTCTTTCACCTTAAAGAAGGAGCCATATGTGACCATGAACCTATACACCTCAAACTATGTTTTTATTTATGTCTGTTGTTATTTGATATTATAAACATTAAAGCTTGGACTCCCAGATATAGACCAAGGCTGGCTTTACACGGTGAAACTTTTAGGCAACTAGGTTGCCTGCAACCTAATTTCCGTGCAATTTGACAGTTACGTGAAACAATTCAAGAATAAAGTTGCACGCAACATATTTAGTTGCTGCTCCAGTTAGCCAAATTAAACAGCTCATAAAAATTTGATTGTGTCGTTCATGTGATATAAACTCCCCTGCAACATGCAATCGATCTATAGTGAATATTTGGTAGCATTTTTATGATCTTTGCTTAATTTCTTGCTTAATTTGTCATCGTTTAAAATGGCTGTCTTAAATGTGCTTGATGAAGAAACACAAACTAAAAGGGCTAAACGAGTGTGGCTGAAAAACTGGCTATTAAAAAGAGGTTTTATGGCTGTTAATCCAGCTGGTTACAGAAGTGCCTCGAGAAACTCCCACTTGTTCCTTGTTTTCTCTCGGTTAACTGACAAAATGAAAAACTATCAACCTTGCATGAAGTCAGTGAGGAGTATCTCCTATTCAGCTGTCCAAAAGACCATCTTCTCATCATTTTCTTGTCGAGTCAGCGCTATTAGTAATCAGTCTTTTGAAATGATGTAGTTCAGCGTGATCCTGTGATGCGTTATCAGCATTGGCTGTTTCATGAAACTTGTTCTGTGCAATAGAGATGTTTGCAATTGTTGTGGCTAAGTTGCAAGACGCTTTACATGTAATTCAAGTGCAGTTTAGTTTCATATAGGTTTCAAAACAACTAAAACTGTGCGTCAGGGTTTCACTGTGCAAAGCCAGCCAACTATTTAATCTAGAATCCACTAATTTATTCCACCAATGGGCTCAGTTCATGTCCAGAAAACTATCCTTTAGACATTTTTATGTTTTGTTTATTTTTTGTTGTTAAATTCAAGATGATTAAAAAATTAAATGAAAATTAAAAGAAAGTGATTGAAATCTTGTTTTTGAAACATTCCAATTCGATGCATCTGGGTTTCTGGTCCTGTGACTCAATTGCTCAAATCGGCCCTTGATGCTGGAAAACTACCTCACAGATTAATGGACTGTCCTGATACAGCCAAAAGGTGTTCCAGCTATAGAGATGAAAACAGATATTCATATAAAAAATGGTCCTCTGCCAAAGGAAGAGCTATTGCCAAGTACAAATAGAAGGAGAAATACAGAGAAATATACAAACATAGCAGCCTCTCCAGCCCAGACACACGACAAAAAGCTTCGGCTCTTCAACCAAGTTTATCATTTTGGCACAAAAACATTAAAGTTAGAACAGGAATCTGGAATCGTTCCACTGTGGGAATGTGGTTGATGTGGTGTATGTATGGGTCTCAGTGGTGTTCGATTTGGGAAACAATTTGTGGTCCATTTTTCTGGTTTTCTAAAATGGTTGCCAGACATTTTAGATGAAAGACTGAAGATTGTTTTTAATAATGGTTTGGCTTCATATCCCTTAAATTCAGCAATAACTGTACATCAAACTTATGCCCCACTGAAATATCATCATCGTCCATTGAGTTGTAGCCCTATTGCGGAGTCTTCATTCTGTTTTTGATGAGAGCCTTGTGTTGTTTTTCCTTTTGCATGTTGTTCTTAGTTACCCTGAAGCAAAAAATCTAATTTACCCCAAATCTCCCGCCGTACCCCGAATGTAGTGTTGATCATCTTAGCCAAGTTTGCTTCAGGCTACTGTAGCTAACAAGGTAACTTATACTTCTAACTTGCATCATGCAAACTACTTTAGTGCTGGGCGATTTAAAGTGAGAAATAGGTTATTTTTGTTATATTTTCATAAAATTTGTATTCTAGTTCAAAAGATGAGCGTTGGGCTAAAGCAGAATGTCAGCTTTCTGGTCATTGAGTGTGTTTACATGCACTTAATTACCTGATAACTGCAGAAAATCAGATTTTGTCAGTAATCCGATCAACACGTTTACATGCACTTCAGTAATCAGATAATGGGGAAACTCCGGGTCTACGTGAGTCAGACAGTAATCAGATTTCTGCTTTACAACCAGCCAATAAACTCACAGAAGAAGACGCAACATAAACGTAATGTAAAACTCAAACTTCATGCTGTGGCTTTTTTTAAAAAACAACACACCACTTTACCTGAAAATATGAACATACATCATGTAGAACAGAGGTCACTAATAGGCGGGCCGCGGTCCGGGTCCGGACCCAGACGTTGCCCTATCCGGACCTATTCGGTTCACTTTTAGGATGTGAAGCTGAGTTGACAAAAATGATGAAAAAGTGTTTCATTTTTTAAACGCAGCCCTTGTTTTTACTTGAAGTGAGAACAGAATATTTATTTGGAGTATTTGTTATTGTTCCAGTTCAGTGTGAAAAGTGACAAATATTGTTGAAATATTATTAAATTGTACTTTAATTGATTTGACATTCAGTTGCTGACTACAGACTTGCTGCTGATGTAACTACTAGGCTACTTCAGTTTCGGTTTATGCCACTGAATCATGATTATGATGTTCCGGACCTTTGCTTGAGGAAATTTTCTTTAACTGGACCTTTTTGAATTTTAATTAAATACCCCTGGTCTAGAAGATGAAGAATATTTAAATCCTTCATTTCGTCAAGCATGTATTTGGTTTCAGTGTCGCTCCAAAAGTGTTCTGCTGGGTCTCGTGGCAACACTGCTCGCTTATTTCTGGTACCGCACTCTGTTTTGCGCCTGCGCAGACTGAGAAATCCGAAAGAAATCAGAGTAAGAGTTTACATGCACTGAGAAATCTGATTACTGAGCTAAAATCCAGCTCTCTTTATCAGATTTCTAGACCTTACTCTGATCTAAGAAATCGGAGTGCACTGTTTACATGACCATTTGAATAATCAGATAACTGCAGAAATCAGATTATGATTGGATTATTGAGTGCATATAAACACATGCTGATTTCCATACAACATGTATCACACAGGAAAAGATGTCATTTGTCGTGTTTATGCTTCTGATTTCAGCTGAGCAGAAGTATTGGGACAAATGAAGTTACAAAGCTAAATTAAGTTGTTTAGTATTTTAGGTTAGTATTTGGTCTCAACCAGTGACAGATTAGTGCCTTTAATTCTGGGAAGGCAGCTGTGCGATGATTTGGTCATGCAGCTTGCATGATGCTAATCAGTGAGGTATAAGCTTCCATTACTTCCTATGTACATTAGTCGTGTAGCTCCATGCAAAACTAAAGGAGCAAACTTCAGTCAACAAACATGTCTTGGCTGGTCAACTACATTTGAGGTCAGGGGAAAGTACGTTCGATTGTTCACTGAAGTATTCTTTTAATAATAAGCTAGATGGTAGATGACCATTCAGAAATGCTTGAGATTCCTGCGGGAGAAGAGGGGGGGCAGGGGGTCAACCTTGGAGCTGCTTCGCTGCAGGAATTTCACAATGACTTCCAGATTCCAGCACCACCACAGAGTGTCCCCCTGGATTAGAGCTGGGCAGGCTTACGTAGCGATGGCATGGAGGAATGCGAGTGTATTTCTGGTGATTTCTGGTGAAAGCTGAAAAATGGTCCAGAGGAGTAACCGTTCATTGTAGCTTATTGTAGCTCGAAATTATCAACATGCTAAAACACAGGGTAGCTGATAACTGTTTACAACGTTTCCCTTAGGCTCCCTTAGAACATTTTCTTTTCATGAAAACGTGATTTCTTGAAATTGTGGCTTTTAGCCGCTCTGTTTATTATAGGTTGAACGTTTCTGGATGTTCCACACATTCATTTCCCAACTAAGTGCCATTTGCCAAGGTGGAAGAGGAGACAGCTTTCAGGACAACCTTGAGGAGAATGCTTCAGGAATGAACGATCAGTCTTTTTGCATATCCTTTTAAATGCACGAGATATGATGTTTAATGTTGACAGACTTGTTTTAACGACTCATTGGAAGGCAAACATTTACAAACGATTGAAACAGAGTTGAACGCGTGAATTCGTATTACATTACCAGCAAAAATGAAATGATCAGTGGACGTGTTTTGCTCCGGCAATCATCATATAAGTTTCATACAAAGAGAAAAAATAATAGTAAGTGAAAAGAGGAAGGTCAAAGGATTCACCTCACCCCTGAAATGCTAATGGTGCATATAATGAATGAGAGGGTCAGTTAACATTGCTTAAATGACATCGTGATAATTTGCGCCCTGTGGGTTTCACTCGTTGTTAACATTTCTGGGTGAAGGATTCCTTCAACCGGTATTCCAAAAGCATGGTCAGTGGGAACAGATGGGGGAGGGGGAAAGGTCAGACGGTAAAAGAGACTGAGGGACTAGACGAGAGAAGGAATGCTGACATCAGCCCTCCACTTTGTTCAGGCTCCTCCCCATCAAACAGGCGAACACCGTCATCACCATCTTCGGGTTGACCTCCACAAGATCGTCGGGGAGAGCGTACACCTTGGCTCCGATTTTACGCGCCACCGAGATGGCGTATCTGTGAAGGAGAGAGATAGTGAGCTAAGGGTGCGTCTCAACTCAACCCAGGTTAATTTAATTTCATCTATAATGCTTTTAACAAGAGACAGTGTCTCGAAGCAGCTGTGCGGAAACATAGCTGGAGTCCCCTAATGAGCCAAGGGAGAGAGTGTGAGGAGAAACTCTGAGAGGAACCGAGACTCAAAAGAAGAACCCATCCTCCTCTGGAAAGACCTGTGAGATAAGCCAAAGAACATACACTGTCCACTTCGTTAAAACTACCTCCTTGTTCCTTGTTTGTACACTCATTATCCATTTTACCAGCTCCACTGACCACATAGGAGCACTTTGTAGATCTAATATTACAGACTTAAGTCCATCTGTTTCTCTGCATACTTTGTTACCCTGTTCTTCAGTGGTCAGGACCCCCATGGACCCTCACAGAGCAGGTACTATTTGGGTGGTGGATCATTCTCAGCACTGCAGTAACACTGACGTGGTGGTGGTGTGTTAGTGTGTGTTGCGCTGGTCTGAGTGGATCAGACACAGCAGTGCTGCTGGAGTTTTTAAACACCTCAGTGTCGGTGCTGGACTGAGAACCAAATACATCCAGACAACGGCGTCCTGTGACCACTGATGAAGGACTAGAGGATGACCAACACAACTGTGCAGCAGCAGATGAGCTACTGTCTCTGACTTCTACAAGGTTGACCAACAAGGTAGGAGTGTCTAATAGAGTGGACAGTGAGTGGACACAGTGTTTAAAAACTCCAGCAACACTGCTGATCCACTCGAACCAGCACAACACACCACCACCACTGCAGTGCTGAGAATGACCCACCAGCCAAATTATAACAAGGTAACAAAGTATGCAGAGAAACAGATGGACTACAGTCTGTAATTGTAGATCTACAAAGTGCTCCTATGTGGTCAGTGGAGCTGATAAAATGGACAGTGAGTGTAGAAACAACGAGGTGGTTTTAATGAAGTGGCCGGTTAGTGTATGCAGAACATCAGATATGAAAACATGGCAGGTAAGAAGTTCAGTGTGAGATTAAAATTGGATTATAACTCCCTGAAACAGGTTAGGAGTTCATGCAGAGCGTTGCGGTCATGAAGCTCAGAACAAATCATTACAAAAGTTCAAGAGGTTAAGAAAGAATATGCATTATTCAAACTGACCCCTTGTAGCGTACGACGTAAACTAACTGACGGTTCAGCCATTTCAGCCACTTACAGGGTAGAAATGATTGAAATGCCATCCCACAGTGCCCTAAATAATCTAGTATATCGAGCCACAATGACCAAACGTTTTGTAGATACAACATTTTTTGGTCAACCATTGAAATGTTCAAGTCCTGTAAGTCTTTTGTTAGCTTTTCAGTAATTTTCCATACATTTGGCAATGAGTTAGTAGTTAGCTTGATGCTACGCAAATTACAGATGACTTCAAGCTTTTTTCCGCATTTGAAATGTGTAAAATGCTGCTGTCAGCTTTCTGTTAGCGTTTAGCTTGAGCAGTTTATTGCTGTGCTGTTAAAATTGAGCATGTAGTTTATGTATCACGTCAAAAGCTTTCCATTAGTGCAAATGTGTGATATGCTTTTAGCTTTTTGGTAGCTTTTAAGTCATTTGTCATACGTTTGGGAGTATATTAGCGGT